ATCTGATCTCTCTACCTATCTATCTATCTATCTATCTTTCTATCTTCCTACCTACCTACCTACCTATCTAACTATCAAGCCTAATCTAATCTAACCTAACCTGGCCTAATCTCAGTTAATCTATTGTAATCTAAACTGTCTATCTTTATCTATCTTTCTTTGTGTATCTATTTATATCTTTTCTGTATCTTTGTTGAGTCTTAATTGTACATATGCGTTTGCTCTTTTTATCACACGACAGTCCAAAGGTATGATCGCTGCTGGGCAGCCGTGCCCGATTACTCAAGGCGAGTTGACATTTACCGCTGCCCTGTTGCTGATTTCCGGTGCGCGGTGCGCGGGTCCGGTATACTGTGGCCGGTGGCGGGCACCGGTTTGTTACCGGTGCCGGTGGCTCGTGCCGGTGGCTGGCGGCGGTCACCGATGGCCGGCGCCGGTGGTGCCGGTGGCCGGCCGGTTGCCGGCGCCGGTGCCGGTTGCCGGCGCCGGTTGCCGGTGCCCGGCGCCGGTTGCCGGCCGGTTGCCGGTGCCGGTGCCGGTTGCCGGCGCCGGTTGCCGGTACACAAAAAATGTGTATTATGAACAAACCCCCGACCACAGTGGTTTTTGTCCTGCGCCACCACCGTCCAAGCAAGGAGGGCACGCCGTTTCGGAAGCTTTCATCCAGACCACTTGGGTGTGCTGACAGGTGCTTTGGACTGATCCCGGTCCCCAATGGAGCTTGTTTCCCCCCAAGATCTCCCCGTCCAGCACTCTGCGCAGTGCGCGTGTGCAGAATCTGCACTGCTCTGCTCTCCAGCTCTCCCACTCCGGCCAAGGGGAGCACGCACGCGGATTGGAGATCTGGATTTGGGCCCTCCACCGGACCACTCTTCACCACCTGGAGGAGTCGTCGACAGCACGGCGAAGGCTGCAGCCGTTGGATCGTTCACGCCATGGATTGGAGTTGACGTGCCGCACGGGCCTTGGAAAGTGCCGCCAATGTCTCCTCCAGTTCTACAACACGTTCTTGCCAGTGAGAAGAGGGTCCCCAAGAAACTCTCTCCATCGGCACTCGACAGCGACACAAACCAGCAACCAATCAGCCAGCCAGCCAGCCAGCTAACCAACCAATCAACCCAGCCAACTCAACAACAACCAGACCACCAACCAGGCAACCAACCACTCTGCACACTAGATCAACCTACATAGCTGCCCGACCTCCAGCCACAGCACTCCCCTTCAGACTCCGATCTCAGCGCCTCGTACTGCAACCCGGAGGCGGTCTCCGTCACCTCATCTCGCCTCGAGTCGCCGCGCCGCGGGTCACTCCGCGGTGGAAACCGTGACCACCCAGCGAAAGCCCGCTGAGGCACGGACAGGCGGTTCTCCTTGGCGTGTGGCGATGAAGAACCCAGACCATGCATGTATGGCAGATTGACCCCTGAAGCCCTGTAGGTACAGATGCCATGCAAGGATTGTCTGGGACTGGGAAATGAAGAAAAGCAGGTGGAGGAGAGGTCCAACTTCGTCACCCTCCTCGTCCCATCCCCTCTGAACGCCCAGCCTTCGGAGGGAGGACTTTGACGGATTTGGAGGGATTCGCTGATTGGGTCTCCATCGGGCTGTCGCGGGCGCCGAGCCCCTCGATGGTCACACAGCGCTTAGGAGGAAGGAGGCAATCGGTAAACAACCTGACCGCGTTCGTGGGAAGTGGATGCCGGAGCCCTGCAGCTCGTCTTCGCCCGACTGAAGTCGGGCCTCGTCTTCGAACCCAACTCCCAGCCCCACCTCGAGGAGTTGCTCATCTCCAGGCTCCTCTTGTCCCAACACCTCGGCCAGTCGAGACGCGCGAGACATCGCGAGACACTCGAGTCGAAACGCGACCGGAGGGCCCCCGGAGGGCACAAAGGGCTGTTGGGGGGTCCAAGCGTCTTTTCGAATCAATGAGCGGCAGGAAAACCAACTACTTTTTGAGCTCTCGGCTCTCGGCAGAAATCGTGTCACTGTGGTTGTGTGCCACTGTTTGCGGGCCAAATCCCACACCCTTCTTTCAAAAACACTTAGCCTGAAGATCCTACAAGGAGCCCTACATCCCTTCGAAGCGCCACTGAAAATCTGACCAAAAGAGCCATGCAAAGTCGCCAAGTCAAGGTGATCTCCGACTCTGGGGGTTCGGGCCAGGCAGAACAGTGCCAGCAGGGGAGCCCAGGTCCTCCAAATGGCCTGGGAAAAGAAAGTGGCGCCGGCGCCCCAACATGTTCAAAAGCCTGCCTTCATCAAGCCTGCGGCAGGATGAATCACTCTCAACAAGTTGGGGCCAAGTCGGTGAAACTACTACAATAGAGCATGGCTGAGGGCTGAAGATCCCCTGAAATCCCCTCGGGTTCCGTCGGTCGGATCCACCTCCCGAGTGTCGTGTCGTACCGGCCACGTTCACTGAAGAGGTGTCCAGGTCTAAGCCTCCTGCCATGTTGCCGACTTTCAGGACCCAAACACGACCAGGCTCGTCTGTCCTTTCTGCCTTGTGCTGGAATGTACCGTGCGTTCGATGACGAGAACTTCAATTCTCTTCCCGGGGGTGGTGTGCTTGAACCTGCTCAGACCAATGTTGCCAACCCTTTGAGCCTCAAAACTGCGGGGTCCTTCGGGCTGGTAGGCCTGATCCTTTTGCAAATGCCCATGGCTATCCATGGCTCAAAATATGTGCCACTTATGTAGATCTTATGTAGACCCATCAGCAATGGTAAGAGAGAGAGAGAGAAGAAGAAAGAAAAGATCCCGCTGCTACCGACTATAGAAGTTCACCCCCTCATTTTATCATATTTTATCCAGAACTTGGTTAAATAAAAGGACTTCACGCACCAAAGGTCTTGACAAGTCATTTAATCTGAAAAGTGAAGAAAGAAAACAACTTGCTCAAAATGTTATCTAAAACAACTGGCTAATTTGACAAGGTTGCAAATCCATCCGTGCCAACCATTTCATTCAAGACCCATTTCAGACAACCCTTAAACTAAATGAGTCACATAAATTGGCTTTCCGTGGTCGGCCACACTCATTTTAGATAGCCGGTAGCAATGGGGATGAGAAAAGAGAGAAACGAGAGGAGAGAGAGAGAGAGAGGGAAGCAGAGAGAGAGAGAGAGAAGGAGAGAGGGAGAGAGAGAGAGGAAGCAGAGAGAGAGAGAGAGAAGGAGAGAGGGAGAGAGAGAGAGGAAGGAGAGAGAGAGAGAGGAAGGAGAGAGAGAGAGAGAGGAAGGAGAGAGAGAGAGAGAGAGGAAGGAGAGAGAGAGAGAGAGAGATATATATATATATACAGTATAGTTTTAGAGAGTTGGAGTGCTTTTGTTCCCCCATCCTCCATATCACACCTGCCACCTAGACTATGTGGGGCCCTCCAGAACATAAAGAAAACATGGTAGGCCTGGTAGGCGAGGTCTTGGTCCTCGTCCTTTGTGCCCTGCAAAGGTGTTCAGCAATGGCGTGCTCCAAGCAAGGCAGTTGCTTCTTGGGCGAATTGGCACCGCTTTCGCGGCCCGAACGAGCAGGGAGTGCATGCTTTTCACGCACCCATGACAACCAGCCAGCAAAAGAGGGAGCAGCACGTGCCTGCAACTGGGTTACTTCTAGGCCTGTGAACGTGGCCTAGACCTGCTCTCGCCGTGGAGAGCCTTCCTCACCTCGTCGAAAGCCCGGGTGTGACGTCAAAGGGGGGGGGACAATGTTGGAGTGACCGAGGCCGGCAGTGCGGCAGGCACCCTACCAAACCGCGGAAGGTTGATATCCCTTATATAGTTCTAATCTGTCCAGAGGTTAACCTGGGTTTCGGGGTTTTGACAGCCATCTCGCTTATCTGAACGTGCAACGTCTGTCGCACATCGCAGCAGCTTCTCCCCCGATCGCCCGCGGCGATTCCTCAAACGTTAACCAACGCGGCGCGTGGCGCCGCTCAGAACCTCCAGCACCTCACATGTCTGAAAAGCAGCTGAGGGTTCAGCTTTGGGCACTCTGATGAAAGGCACTGGGGAGTCCTTGCCTTTGAGGACTCCCCAGAGTTTGAAAAGGCTACCCGTAATTAAGGGAATGGGCTGCACAGCGATCAGGGTTTGAGCTCCATAGTCAGAACGCTCGGTTTGAGCTCCTCCACCATATGTATGTCATGTCGAGTTGGCGGATCTGGCTCACAACTGCTCACAATGGCCCATCACAAGCCAGTCAATCCAATCTGTTTGACGCTGCCTTGTCGAAGTGTCCGCCCCATGTCCCATGGCCCCTCCATGGCCCTTCTAACCATCCGCTCCTGGCCTCTGGTGCCAGCTCCCCACAGTGTTGTTGAAGATGTCGCACCAAGGCTTGAGCGCTCAGCCCCTTGAGCCCTTGGATCCTGGGCGCGGACCGGACCCCCATGGGGCACGGATCCTGGGGGTCGGACCTGTCCCTCGCTGACAGCGTTGCCGCCGTGGTCTGAATGGGTTGCATCGGGCACGGCAGGGAAAAAGGGCCCCGGTGCCCCAGATCCAAGAAGGGCCCCTTCCCTGTGGCATTGGGGCAAAACCTTCATTTCGATGTGGCATCGAGTTTTGTTTTGGACGAACTCGGAAGGGCCGGCGCGGGGCGCTTCCTCTACCAAGCCCTGTTTCGATGCCAAGATGAAGGCAGACTGCTTCAAAAGTGAAGTGCACTTCAACGTTGGCTCCCCCTACCCACGCCTACTTTCAGCATCTAGTAGATTTAGTAGGGTGTGTCAGATTGTTAAAAGTTTTGGGGGTGGTGCGGTGGGCAAGTTCCAAACTATGCAAACATCCACCGTATGTACATCATGTGCATCAATGTTTGTGAACTAAGGCCAGCTTGCTGCAGAAAAGAGTCAGTCGCATGCAAAAGCAGCAGCCAACATCGGCATTGAGATGCATTGAGTACACCCCGAGCTACCAGTGGATGGTTCAGTTGCAGGCGAATTCGTTTGCCGACTGTTGGTCATGGGACAGGCCGGTCATAGGCACACTCTCGAACAGTCCACCGTCCGCCGCAGACGTGCCCCTTCGGACGAACCTCTGCCCAAATCGATGCCATGCGGCATGGACAGCAAGAAGGAGGCGAAGGCCACCGTCACGTCCTCCCAGCGGACGTGAAGAATGCAGGGAAAACACACTCCGTGCTGGTCCACACAAACTGGATGATTGAGTGTTGGTGGAACTGGTGCCAACACATAGTAAGATCCCCCTACACCTGCATGGTCAAACAATGTCAAACCTGTCCATGTGGGAACCTATCTGGATCAACTGTCAGCTCTGATCAAACGCTTGGACTGCCCAAGAAGAACCGTCCTCCTGGGCCATCTGCGAAAGGCATAGCCAGAAGTCCTCTGCACCAAACCTGGGCACTGCTGGCGCCAAAGAACGACTGAGATGCCCCAAGTTTGACTGATTTTACCCCTGTGGATGGAAATGCGGAAAACAACGGCAGGTCTGTCAAGAACCTATAGGAACACTTCAGAGTCCAATGGCTCACGCGTCGGTCAACGCCCCAAATGCGCGATCTCCCGACCATCCTCGGACTGTCACACCGCCGCCGTGACAGGCGCCACTCCGCCGCGACTCGCCGGACCCACAAAGGGCTCGCTACTTCTAAGGCGAAGCAACTCACTGCTGCGGTCCAGCACTGCCTTGACCTCGGGTCCCGCAGCGGAAAGGGGCCCAGCATCGCCGATGGGAGGCGGCCCCAAAGCAGGGAAAGCGCTGGTCGGAGCGAGCTGGTTGATACTTGTAGGTTGCTGAAATGAGACATTTACTCCGAAAAAAAACTAGGAATACAAATCCAAGTCTTGGGATAGTGTCCACTTCAGTGCTGCAGCATGTTCTGAAAAGTATGCTGCACCAGTAAGGTGCCTCAAATCCCTTCAAGCAGCTCCCCACCATCGCCACCACCCCGCGACCCCCGATGCTACGCGCGAAACACGCCACGTCTCGTCCTTTCTGGCCGGGCGGCCGCGTCCATCAGCGCATGTGTGGCTTTGAGGTTTCCAAGCTCACCCTGGGAGGGAGGTTTTGGGACATCTCCGTGACGATTTCGGGTGAATTTCGGAGGGTTGGGGCTCCTGAAACTCCTTGGCGCGAACTGCTTTCGACATGTCAAAAGACTTGGGCCAGTTTCAGAGGTGTTCAAGCACATCTTCCTGCGGGATGCTGAAGCACTCGGAACCCGGGAAATCTTATACTGAAGCTTAGGACTCTTTGAGGGGGTTGAAAATACGAAGGTCGGAGGCTGGTCCATGACGCATCAGCTCTCCTCAAGCCGGCTCTTTTCAAGGCCACCATAGGGGATCATGGTGGGATAGGAAATGAGCTACTAGGAGCAGGACGCTACTGGTAGCTCTTGGTCTTACTACTAGGCTTGGCACGTGAGTTTCTCCACATGACCTAAACCCGCCACCAACTGCTCCTCACCACTTCTTCCGGCCTGCGCGCGGACCTGTTCCAGAAGCGACCGGTACCTGCCGCCAGCAGCGAAGCATGAAGAGGTCTGCGATGTGGATATGTGTACGTGTATATATATATATATATGTACATATATATATATATATCGAATTATCGATATTGATGGATGGATGGATAGATAGAGTGATGGGTAACGGGTAGCTAGATATATGTATATATATATGTATGCGAATAGATAGGTAGATAAGTGCCCTCTTGCAGATTGAAATAGACCTCCAAAACCCCTAGGCTGTAGAGGAAAACTTCTCACGGTCCATGTTAGTCTGCGGGGGTGTACACCCTGATTCACGTTCCATGGAAGTGGATGGCATGGGCCTTGGAAGACCGCATTCCTTTACAACCAGGGGGTGAACCCCACTTCTACTTGAGTGAGTCGGAGTGTAAGAAGCACAACACCACCTGCTGGCAACAAAGAGGAACAGTTTTTGACCAGCTTCAAAGGGTTGGGCACTCTTTCTTAAACCTCTTCTCTTTGGATCCTTTTGTCAGGGCGACGAGTTTGAAGCGGGTTCATCCATCCATCACGCTGTTGACTGTCGCATAAAGACACTCTCCCAGAACTGATGCCCCGCAAAGGGGCTGAACTCCGCTTGTGCCCAATGCTGGTGGGCACCACTGGTGCTGCCGGTGGTCTGGTTCTCGATCCTCAATCACATCGAGAAGGACGAAAAAGAAGAGGGGAGAGGGAGAGGTGCATGAAGCAAATCGCCAGACTGTTCAGTTGGACTCCCAAGATACAGTAAACTGGAAAACAACATAATGAAAATCAAACAATCAGTTACAGTATATGCATTTTTTTGACTGAGCTAGTCTGCAGTACAGAGAATAGGAAGTAATTGACATACATCAAGGTCGTCCAGAGGGGGGGTCAATGTTCAGTCTGCACTAGTCACTAGGCAAGCACACAATTTGCAGAAGGTCCGGTAGGAATTGTTTTTTTCAATCCAGGGTGTGTCTTATGGTATGTGCATGTATATATATACATGTTTATGCATGTCTATATTTGTATACAGACATATGTA